CTTGTTTAATTATATTTAATTTTATTAAGAAACTCATAATAAAAGTTAATTTGTGGTAGAGTTTTAGAAAAATTATTTTATTTTATATATTAATTATTAAATATTTTTTATATGAATAATTCTAGTCTAATTAGATTTTCTTTTATTAAAAAATTCATAATAATAAATAGATAAATAGACTAACTTAAATTTTATTAGATAGATTTTAGAGTGTGATTGACATTTTTTTTTTTTTTTTTTATAAAAACTTTTTGCATATCAATTAATAAATATTTTTTTTTATAAAAATAGATAGTTAAATACTGAAACTCTTTGCATATGTAATAATACTATAGATAAAAACTTTTTTTATATCAATTAATAAATATTTTTTTTTATATAAATAAATAAATACTTAAACACCTTGGCACAACTTCTGTATTTTACTTAGAAAATTAGGTTTTCTTTTATTAAAAAATTCATAATAATAAATAGGTTAATTTGAATTTTATTAGATAGATTTTAGAGTTTTATAGACGTTTTTTTTTTTTTTTTTTTCTATAAAAACTCTTTTCATATCAAGTAATAAATATTTTTTTATAATATTAAATAAATACTGAAATTCTGAAACTCTTTCCACATTTAATAAATAATTTTTAAATAAATAAATAAATACTGAAACTTTAGATTTACTTTTATTAAAAAATTCATAATAATAAATAGATAAATAGGTTAATTTGAATTTTATTAGGTAAATTTTAGAGTTTTATAGAGTTTTTTTTTTCTTTTATTTATTTATTTTTATATAAAAACTCTTTTCTTATCAGTTAATAAATATTTTTTACTATAATAAATAAATACTGAAATACTGAAATTCTTTGCACATTTAATATTTTATTTTCTTTAAATATATTCTTGTCTAATTAAATTTAATTTTATTAAGAAACTCATAATAAAAGTTAATTTGTGGTAGAGTTTTTAGAAAATTTATTTTATTTTATATATCAATTAATAAGTATTGTTTATATTAAAAATTCTTGTCTAATTCAATTTTCTTTTATTGAAAAATCTATAATAATAAATGGATAAATAGGTTAATTTAAATTTTATTAAATAGATTTTGGAGTTTGATATGTTTTTTTTTTTTTTTTTTTTTTAAATTACTTTTCATATTAATTAATAAATATATATATTTTTTAAATAGATACTTAAATACTGAAACTCTTTGCACATTTAATAGTAGTATAGAAAAAATATTTTATTATATAATTGAATAAATACTGAAACACTTTGGTAGATCTTTTGTATTTTACTTTGAAAATTAGATTTTCTTTTATTAAAAAATTGTAATTTTTAATACGTGTTAGAGTATTATAAAAAATATTTTTAAACTCTTTTTTACATGAATTAATAAATATTTTTATATTTTAATAATTCCTATCTAATTAGATTAGCTTTTATTAAAAAAAACTCATAATAAAAAGTATTTGTGATAGAATTTTAGAAAGATTATTTTATTTTTTATATCAATTAAAAATATTTTTTATATTAATAATTCTTTTCTACTTAGATTTTCTTTTAATAAAAAACTTATAATAAATAAATAGGTAGTTTGTGTTAGAGTTTAATATAAACTCTTTTAAAAACTCTTTTATATCAATTAATAAATATTTTTTATTTTAATAATTATTGTCTAATTACATTTAGATTCATTAAAAAACTAATAATAAATAGATAAATAGGTAATTTGTGTTAGAGTTTTTTAAAACCTCTTTTAAAACCTCTTTTTGTATCAGTTAATAAATAATTTTTTATATTAATAATACTTGTTTAATTAGGTTTCTTTTTATTAAAAAAACTCATAATAAATAGATAAACAGGTAATTTGTATTAGAGTTTTATAGAAACACTGTTGATAGAGTTTTATGGAAAATAAAATAGGTAATTTGTAATAGAGTTTTATAGAAATTATATTATTTTCTTTAAATATATACTTGTCTAATTAGATTTAATTTTATTAAGAAACTCATAGTAGAGTTATATAAAAATTATTTTCTTTTATATATCAATTAATAAATATTTTTTATTATTATGTAGATTTTAGTGTTTTATCATATTATTAAATAAATATTTGTTTACATAAATAAATAAATATTGAAACTCTTTACACATCTAATAATAGTATAGATAAAAACTCTTTTTATATCAATTAATAAATATTTTTTTATATAAATAAATAAATACTGAAACTCTTTCACAGAACTTTTGTATTTTACTTTGGAATCCTCAATTTCTGTACCACTTCCTCCTTCCTCCATACCTTTATTTATAGGATTCTTGGATGAATAGGATAATGACATGTGTCCTTTTCTGATAATAACATAATCATAACTGGGTCGGGCCGGTTATATTGTGATAATTATCCATAAAAAATAACAAAAAATATGAGTTTTATATAGAATATGATTGATTTTATTAAGTAATTTTTAGATTTTTATAAAAACTATAATTATCCATAAAAAAAACTAAAAATAAGAGTTTTATATAAAATATGATTGATTTTATTACGTAATTTTTAGATTTTTATAAAAACTATAATTATCCATTAAAAAAAACTAAAAATAAGAGTTTTATATAGAATGTGATTGGTTTTATTAGCTAAATTAGATTTTATTTTATTAAAAAACTTGTAATAAATAAATAAATAGGTAATTTGTGTTAAAGTTTAATATAAACTCTTTTAAAAAGTCTTTTTATATTAATTAATAAATATTTTTTATTTTAATAATTCTTGTCTAATTAGATTTACTTTTAGTAAAAAAACTAAAAATAAATAGATAAATAAGTAATTTGTGTTTTAAAAACTCTTTAAAAAATCTCCTTTTGTATCAGTTAATAAATAATTTTTTATATTAATAATACATGTCTAATTAGGTTTTCTTTTATTAAAAAAACTCATGATAAATTGGTAATTTATGTTAGAGTTTCATACAAACTCTTTAAATATATCTTTGTTGATAGAGTTTAATTGATAATAAAATAGGTAATTTGTAATAGAGTTTTACTGAAATTATTTTATTTTTTTTAAATATATACTTGTCTGATTAGTTTTAATTTTATTAAGATACTCGTAATAAAAGCTAATTTGTGGTAGAATTTTATAAAATTATTTTATTATATATATCAATTAATAAATATTTTTTATCTTAATAAATCTTGTCTAATTAGATTTTCTTTTATTAAAAATGGATAATAATAAATAGATAAATAGGTTAATTTAAATTTTATTATGTAGATTTTACTGTTTTATAGATTTTTTTTTTTTTTTTTTTTTTTTTTTTTTTTTTTTTTTTTTTTGGTTTTAGTAAAAACTCTTTTCATATCATTTAATAAATATTTTTTTATATAAATAAATAATGAAACTCTTTACACATCTAATAATAATATAGATAAAAACTCTTTTTATATCAATTAATAAATATTTTTTTATATAAATAAATAAATACTGAAAACTCGTGACAGAGTTTTTGTATTTTACTCTGAAATTCAACTCAATTAATAAATATTTTTTTATATAAATAAATAAATACTGAAACTCTTTGGCAGAGCTTCTGTATTTTACTTTGAAATTCTGAATTTTTAGAATTCTCAATTTCTTTACCCCTTCCTCCTTCCTCCATGCCTCTATTTATAGGCTTCTTGGATGAATAGGATGATGACATGTGTCCTTTTCTGATAATGACATAATTATAATTGGGCCGGGCCGGTTATATTGTAATAATTATCTATAAAAAAATAACTAAAAATAAGAGTTTTATATAAAATGTGATTGATTTTATTGGATAATTTTTAGAATTTTATAGAAACTGTAATTATCCATAAAAAATAACTAAAAATAAGGGTTTTATATAGAATGTGATTGATTTTATTAGGTAATTTTTACAGTTTTACAGAAACTATTTTTACAAAAACTATTTTTATATCAATTAATAAATATTTTTTTATATAAATAAATAAATACTGAAATATTAAAACACTTTACACATTTAATAATAGTTTATATATATATATATATATATATATATATATCTCTTGCTCCATGTGGAGCAAGAAAATTCATTCGCATTTTCTATAGAAATCATTAAATCTAATCTAACAATCACTATAGAAACCACCTATATTCTATCCTTTTAATACAAAACCACCATCACTATTTCTGGTTTTCAAATTTAATATTTTTCAATACTATTATTTACAATAATAAAAGATAATTACCCCAAAAATAGAAAAAAAAATAGAAACCAGTACTTCATAGTTGAAAATACCGTCTCTTTCAAACAAAGACATACAAGAGTGTTTTCTCTTTATCCATACAAATTGAATTTGCAAATTTTGTCTCATTTGTCTCCCTTTAATCCCAAGTTTTGATTCTTACAAAACTGTCACAAACTATTCACTAAGTCCTTTTAGCAATTTTATAATAAATCATAGTCTTAATCATGCATACATCAACATATTCACAATAGGAAAATTAAGCTAATGATATATAAAACATTGACTCAAAAAAATATAAAAATAAAAACAAATTTTATTTTTTCTGCACAACAATTTCACTCCATAAATTTCAATGGATTAAAATATCTTTTTTCTAATTGTCTCTCGTAATTATTTGTTTGAGAGACGTGATTTTCACATGTAAGAAGGTTTCAATTTTTTTTTGGGTAATTACTTTTTATTGTTGTAATTAGTGGTATTGGTAAATATTAAATTTAGAAACTAAAATAATAACAGTGATTTTTTATTAAAAGGAAATAATATAGGTGGGTTTCTTTAGTGATCGTTAGATTAGATTTAATATTCTCTATAAAAAGTGCGGATAAATTTTCTTGCTCCACGGGAAGCAAGAGATAACTACTCTATATATATATATATTGTAATTTTATTAGTCCATTAACCCGGATTTGATCCACTCGAACCCACCCGTACTTGATCTCCATGCGGAGCAGTCTTTGGTTGAAGGGTTCTGTTATCAGAGATAGGGATAGAAACAATAAAAACCAAAAAAGTGCTAATAAAAACATTATAACTTTATTCCAACATCTTCGGGAATGTGTAAAATTAACTCATATTAAAAATAAAAAGAAAACAAAAAAAAGATACAAAAACTTAATTAGATTCTAGCACCAAAAATACTACAATATGATTGTAGCATTCTCTCATTTTTGCGGGAAATGTATTGTTTTTAGGTCAAAGATCAAGGTTCCAAACAGCTCCTTCTCCTTCTCCACACAGATTATGCACGTATTTCATCCTCTCCACGGATTTGCATATTCCACTGCACGACCAATCGAACGACGCCACGCATACATTTCCTGCTTGTGTCTTCCATTCACAATCTATTCACATATATATATATCAACAATTAGACAGTAAGAAATTAGTGTCATAACGATCAATAGATGTTTAATTTTCTTTTCTTTTTTTATCAACATAGATGATTAATTTACTTAAGGTAAAAGCAAATTAATAGATTTAGTAAAACAATTCTAATTTCATAGCGCAAATTCCATGATTTCTAATTTTTATGGAGAATGCTAAGTGCAATTGTGATGGTGTTAGTTCAGTTATTGGATATCTGTTGTGAGACTCACATGATCCAAAGACCAAACTTCTTCAGAGTATATATATATATATATATAGAGAGAGAGAGAGAGAGAGAGAGAGAGAGAAAGAGAGAGAGAGAGAGAGATAGGGTATTATGCCAACCTGGAGGGGTTCCACAACACATGGAACGGTCGTCTATGTGTTTAACTTCCAAGCCAATGAACCAGGAGCCCAGAGAAACGTCCTCGTTGGCATATCTATGCAAAATTGGCCTACATAAATGTATATATGTACACATCACATGTATGTATCATCAATCTTACACTAGATATATATATATATAGAGAGAGAGAGAGAGAGAGGTACTGACGAGTTAATAGAGATGTAGGCAGCAAGGTCCTTGGAGATGGCATATATTTGACCAGTGGCATGCCTGAAGTACTTGTTCCCTTCTTCCCCAAATTTCCAAAACTCTGGCTCGTGATATCTTACCCCTCTGTTCCATTTTTCCCAAAACATGTCAAACAATACACACACACACGCAGACACACATATATATATGATTCATCTGATCCAATTAGCACCACACAAACATATACACTCACTTCCTTACTATTATGTAAAACATAACTTACTTTTGAGATAGAACAGGTCCAGACTTCATGCACCCAATGTAGATCCTAGATTTGGATCGATGCCTTGTTAGTGTATTCATTAGCATACCTACACATGTAACAAATATTGCAACTTTACATTATAATGCATATGTGTTTTGCAGTTTGACAAATATATATATATACTCCTATGTATCTTCAAGAAATTGAGTTCGGATTTCTACACACATTCATTCTACATTTGAACACATTTTCAACACACACACACACACAAAATGTGTTGAAACACGAAGAAACTGTGGTGAAATGAGATTTCAATGCACTTACATTTGTTTTCAATGTATTATTTCGTGTTTCAACTACATTAAAAATATGTTGAAATGTAAAATAATTAGGTTGAAATAGATGCAAGTACTTTGAAAAACGTTACAGAACACTACAGTAGAGGATCCAGACTTCAAGAAAATAGAGTAGAGGCTTAGTTGATTACCCAAATTTACATGGACATCATCATCTACTTTAATGTAGAATTCGGCATCCCAGATCGAGAATGCAGTTGAAAAATAGAGTCTGGTCTTGGTGGACAGCTCGTGGTAGCCCTCGACGTGCTTCAGGCGAAGGAAGTCTCTGTTCTCGGCCTCTTCAGCATCAATGGATCGATCAAGAACTCCTCCTGGTGTCGCACTGTGCCCTATCACGAACCGTATCACTATCCCTTTCTCTTTCTCCAATTTCATCAATTTAGCTCCTGCATTTATATATACATACATATCATCACATTAATCACCATGCATTGTATGCATACTCATGTACAGGAAAAATAAAATAAAATATGTGCATGACATTTTATCATTTTAGTCACTTCAGGTTATGCATTACTGTAAATGCATGCTATATCTAAAGAAGGTTAATTAGTCAATATAAATGTGTATGTGTGTGTGTGTGTGTGTGAGTGATGTGTACATATTAACCGAAAATGGCTAGCTAAGAACCTCTAGGCATCCATGTTTCTCGAACAGAGTCTCGTCGTTTCTTGCTGCTGAAAGCTGTATTAATTCCGATGACAACAAAAGCTTTCTGTTGACTCTGATTAGAAGCCATTTCAACCGAGAGTTGGCTGCCGGATTGGCTTGTCCGAGTTGCTGCTAATTCCATCTCCAATGTAGCTATAGTTTTATCCAGTGATCTATTTTAATTTACATAAAAATAATAAGATACCATTCAGAATCTAAATAATAATAAGAAACTAAAAATTAAAAAATATTCAGATTTTGTACACATAATTTTCTTAAAAATAGAATCATCTTACTGAATTGCTTGATGAGTCTTTGCAACTTCTCCCATAATGTCTCCTGAACTTCCTTCAGCCAATTTCTAATAAAACAATAATATGTAAATTAAACATTAAAACTTTCAAAAAAAATTCTTCATAATTATCAAATGCATGCACAAATTAGTAATTGAAGATAGTGGGATTGAATTGGTTGAAATTTTTTTTTTTTTTTCCTCCAAAATTTGAACTACAAAAAAAACTTACACGTTTGTGATCACAATCATGTGTGACTGTTCTCATCTTCTCCACATTGTTGGGAACGGCCAAGAATGGATGGTTATTGTTTTCTGTAGGGTTAGTCCATGACCGGCCAGTAAAAAGTGATCCTGCAAGAAAGCTCGCGATGCATAGAATGACTATAACTTTTCCGGTAACCAGTTTTACCCTCATTTTCTTGCAGTACTCGTTGTCAAGCTGCCACTGCAACAGAGTTGAGCTCAAATGCCGCGATTCAACAGCAAGCTCCTTTTCCGGCAGCAGCAGCCTACCGTGTGCTGCCTTGTTAAAGCTCTTCATCAAGCAAAATATAAAAGGTAAATTTAGATTGAATTTTGTAAGTCTGTCAAAAATGTTTGGTTCAATATATACTAGGGTTTTATATGCATGGATCATACTACATCTTGGTTAAATGTAGCTTTCCTTTCTTCCTGGTCGTTGAAATCATATATATATATATATATATATATTGTTTTGACTTCAAAATTAACATGTCATGTAAATGGATATGGGAAGTTAAATAAAGTGGGAAACTACTAATATATGAAATTAATGAGCTATTGGAGAGAGAGTTGAGAGCCTTTAGGGAAATTAACCCAAAGGACAACATTGTCTTTTTTGTAGAATTTGAGAAGAAGAGAGCAAATTAAATTTCATGTTAGTTCCAAGCTAGGTTAAAACATTCATCTTGATGAAACTAAAACTTTATGTAAATGTTAAATTTCTTTACTACTATATATACCAATATTTTTGCTAATTCGAACGTCAAAATTCGAACACTGAGGCAAGAATTTTAATCACAAATCCCTTGACTATTATTATACATGATCAGCATATATATGTGATGTTGTATGAATAATGGCATAAAATGATGATGCTACATAATCACAAAAAGCGAGACGACCAGTGAACAAACCTCTTTCGAGTTCATAGCAGTAAACATGTAACAATGAATTAATTATATAAAATCAAAAAAAGGAAAAAAAGATGTAAGAAGAGCCAAGAAAATGATGGTGATAATTCAGAAAATTTGCAGAGCAATATATATATTGTATATGTCATTTGAAATGGCAATATTGTTATATTAATATATATATATATATAAATACATACCTGCTAATCAATGACATGCATGCATGATTGTGGGGATTACTAGAAGTACTGTGTATAGAAATGGAGGATTTTGTGGAATATAATCAGAGATCTGGAATTAATTAATATATTTTGTCTGATCATTTAGTACTTCTTCTTTCTCTGCAGGTTAGATGGATGGTTTTGGGGAGTTGGCAGTTCAATCATGTGGTTTTCATGGCTCAACAAACTGTCTGCTTTTAACAGATAAATGAAATTCTTTTCTGTTGGGTATCCTTGTATGGCATTTACGTGTGTGTATGTGTGTGCTTTTTTGTGTAAATTAATGTGTGCTTGAGAGAAAGAGAGAGAATGAGAGATGAACTATCTTATGTGTGATTGTCTGATGTGAACAATTTTTGTCTCCTATGTCGATAAGGAGTAACGAGTCCGGATCCTTTGCAGTACAACACGAGGAGTACCATGTCGTCACCGCATCCCAAAGAAGGAGAAAACAAGAAACTATGAAAGGAGATTTTAGAAGGATAGGGAGGGACTTGGTAGGAAAGAGAGACATTTTTGCCTAGGTTAATCAAAGGGAGTGGGATAATACGATTTTTAAAAGTTGTAAAATGTTTATATTTTTTTAACGTTGGAAAGGGTTTTAATTAATTTAAAATGTTATACGAATAATACTAAAATATTAAATTACGTATACTATATTTTACAGAAAAATACTTATCTATATATAAATATAAATATTTTTCATAGATAACAATTCGTATGTATAATTTCTTATAGTACTAAAAATTTAGAATATACTTCTAACATAGTAGTATTTTTTATATGTATAATATAAAAAAAGTTTTTATATAGAATATTTTACATAAGCAGTTTTATTCTATGGATTAAAATGTTATATATATTATGCATATGTATGTGTGTGTGTGTATATATATATATATTCTTGGCAAGAAACTCATACACAAATTTGTAAAGTGCAAAAAAATATTTGAACTACAATCCTTTTGCAAATAACCCATTTGAGTTAATGATTTGTTGCAAGGACAAATTCATCACAAAAGACTATTTTATCCTTATTAAAATTTTCATTTTTTATTAAATTATTTTATTAATTTTTTTCTCATCTAATTATTAATTGTACCATTTACCTTAATTTTATTATTAGTATTAATTTGTCATAAAAATGAAAAAAAAAAAATAGACTATAACTACCATTTTCTAAAATTGTTAACTTATTATTAAAACTTTACTATTTATAATAAAACTTATTATGTACGGTTTAAACTCTTTTAATGTGAAAAAAAAAAAAAAAATTCATATAATATATTCATAAAAAATTACTAAATTATTTAAGTAAAAAATACCTATTTTTTCATGCAATATATTCATGAAAAATTAGGAAAATACTTAAATAGTTTTAAAATTTTCTACTTAAGATTTTTATTTATACAATTAATTTCAAAAAATTAAAGGTAAATTTATGCTAATGTAATAGAGAATATGTCATAAAAATAGTATGACTTTTTTTCATAATTTATTTTAATAAAAAAAAAATAGATTAAGTGTTATTCAATAATAAATGACATTATGGTTATTTAATGAAAATAGCCCAGGCATGGACTATTTTGTTACAAAATATGATAGCTAATGGGATATCGTGCATAAAATATACTTTATGGAGGTTTTTTTTACAAATTGAGATTATTTTTTTGCACTTTATTCTGTATAATATATAAAAAAAAAAATGTTTTATATAATTATATATATAACATATAATATTTTTTTAAAAACACTACCACTTATTACCTTGGATCCACTTTTTTTTTGCACGGGTTTTGCGGAAGAGGGGAATGAAAAGTGCTATGGTTAATATAAGAATAAATAATTTTAAAAAAAATATATTAAAAAAATAAAAAGAGAAAGAAATGAAGAGGACTTTTTGAATGAGTAGCCAATTGCAATGGAGACGTGTATTATTAGCTCACCTCCGTTACTTTCTGAGTACACACGTGCATGTATAGAGCACAACGATTTTGATTTTTTTTTTTTTTTTTTTTTAACCTGACAAGAAAATAGCCAGGCAAGAACATAAAACCATGTCAAAAAAAAGAAACACTGACTGTGATGATGCTCTCTTACAAAAGGAGTTGTGGGGTCCAACTTTTATTGTGATGTCTACCATTTTTTCGTGAAAGAGTCGGTACCATTTGCACAATTTTGAGTTCTGAACGAATATCAAAGCACTTAATTTAAAGTCACAAGAGAATGACTAAGATTGAAATACAGAAATTATTCAAAATATATGTACAATATGAGTATTTATTTATTTAGTTTTTCATTTTTTTAGTTGATAATGTAAAAATTTTTTTATCCTTCTCGTAATTTTTATATATTTCCTCATAAGCTATTGCGCATTCCTCAACAATTGCTATAGTATAACGCAGATAAAAAATTTAAGAATTACAAAAAAATAAATAAATAAATAAAAAAAACGCCGGGCTTTTCCATGTAATAAAAAAAATAAAAATATTTGGGATCAATTAATAAAACATTTAAAGATTATCATATTTGATATGGGACCAGTAATTTTTTAATTCGTAAGCATTTATAACCAAACAAAAATTAACAACAACCGAATAATTCATACTTTTCATAATTTAGAGTTCCATGTGCGTTCGAATAGAAGAGAATTTCGAAATATTGAAACAATCGTTTTAGATGGCTTAAATGAACCACGCCATTTGATAACGTCTTACTCTTATTTATAGATATTAAGACCTTACCATATATATACAAGTGATTTTAATCCAACAGCTAAAAAAAATTATATAATTAGTTTTAGAATAATCTAAAAGAATATCTTAAGATAGTTACAAAAATTGCACAAATTTTAAGTGTTCTAAACATCTCAATACAATTCTAGACAAGTGTAAATTTACACAAGACATTGTGAGTATTTTGGGTTATGAGTTTTAGGTGCTTCTCTTTCTCTCTCGTCTTTGTTCCTATTAAAGCATTCTTCATCAAAATTTTATTGAATGTAAATTATATTATAATTTGTCGTTTATATTCAGCAACTTCATTTTTTAAATAATTATACAGGACCATTATTCACTCATTTACAATATCATATGTATATAATCATATTTCCAAACAAATTTTTTACATCCAAACCAAAAAAACAAACAGAAAGTATTTATTTCGTTTCAAATTGAACCCAAATCCAAATCTCTAACAGAATTTGTTTACAAACAAAGCATAAAGGATTAGAAGAACTTTGAAGGCATTGACCAATTAGCCCAATGACAAGTTATTTTGCAAACTTATCATCAATTAGGTCAGTCCAGCCAACTTTTTATGATTGAGAGGTTTTTTTTTTTTTTAATTATTATTTTTTATGTTAACAAGGGCAAAGATGAAATATATCATTACAAATCCTAATTTATACCCAGACTAAAAAAGAATTCATTTCCTCTCTAACGTAGTTTGTTACAATCATATAAATGGAATTTCATTTCAATTTCAAACTAATTACAATTTCTTTTCGAAATCAAAATTCAAAAGAATTTGATTCCAAATAGAGTACAAAATTAGAAGGACTTTGAAAAGGTTATATTATTTTTGTTTTCCAAACTTGCCATTAATAATTTATCATAAATAAAGATTTTGAAATCAAATTTTAGCCCAGGCAAAATTATTTTGCAGTTTGTTATTAATAAGTTATCATCAATAAGCCCCTGGGCTTATTGTGTACCATGCTATTTTTGAGCTTGCTTGTATTAAGCCCCTGCGCTTGCTTCCTGCCTTTGGCAGTAGTTGTTGTCCTACTTGGACTTCTTGTATATTCTTTCCAGATTAATACAAATGCTTACCCTTTAACTAACAATTAAAAAAAAAAAAAAAAAAGTTATCATCAATTGTTATATATATATCTATGTTTTGTGTGGGATCCACAATAAATGATGGCATCCATGAGGTCAGTTTTGATTGGGGAGCAAGATCACACTTATAGCTTATATAGGAAGCTTCATTTTTGAAGCCTATAAATACCATGTATCTGGGGACGACCAAAAAGGTGTATTGAGAATCATTAAGCTTATATATTTTACTCTTGAACT